ACTGTATGGTATTAAACCTTTCTATTTTCATGAAAACCAAACAAGCTCAAGTTACAGGTCATATCTGTGGAGAGGCAATCCTGCTCACAACCAGAATGCCTGTTTTTCTAAGTATGTTTGAGCTATAAAACCACATGTAATTGAATAAATGTAAGGTAGAGCTGTTTAAATTCATACAGCGTAACAGGCAAAGCAGTCACATTTCCGTAGAAATTAGGTGACGGACCCCCGACCAAAAAAGTTGCACCTTTAACATTTCAGAAATTAAATGGATCTTCTTAGTCATATGAGAAAAGACAGTTAATAAAGTTAATTGTTTAAAAAAATGTGTATTGAATAATTACAGGCTACTTATATTTGCATACAATATTCAGGGGGTGTTCACGATTATTCTATTAAATTTGAATTATTAAAGGTGCTATATTACAAAGTTGACTCTTGTGAGCTTTAAACCATGTTAGAATATAATACTATCATTATCTCTAAAGATCAAAATGCTCCGTTCCACCTTGTGATATCATGAACCAATAGTTTTCAGGTTAATAACTGCCATTTACCTTTTGTTCAGTAGAGATTGGCAATTCCAGGGCTGAATTCAACCATATGATTCTAGTGAAGCTGTATGGTGTTTAAAAACGCAGTGGAGCTCCTGTATTAAACATCACAAGGTGGAGCTGTTTGAGGAATGTGTAGGATATGTAGGACAAGTGTGACTGAGACAAAACACAACTATGTTTCTGTGGAGGAAACAACATTATATTATAAGATAAATCAGAAAACAGCATCATATGGGCCATTTAACTATACACAGTTAAAGGTGAAGTGCCCAATTTTATTCTTGTAAATCAATCATTCCCCCCCACAGAGAATATTGTAAAAGCAGAACTCTGTGACAAAACCAGGCAGCTGCACATCGCATCTAATAACTTTAATATTTTATCAATCGTAAACCCCGAAGGAGCCTCAAGCGTTGCAGATTGATTGACTGTGCAATGGTGGACCACCCTGCTTTACTTTACCGTATGAAGAAAGTAGTTCTAAAGCTGTGAACGCACCGAAAGACCCATGAGTACGCACCAAAAGACTCATGAGTGCTATAGAAAGGGTTTGTGAGAGCTGGGAACTAGTTAGATAGATTTGAAAACTTCCTCCTGGCACAGTTTAAAATTGGGTAATGCAGCTTTAATTGTTACACTGAGAAACATAATTGCATTTGCAAGACTCAATCAATACTAGAAACAAAAATGACCAAGCACTTCACCGCTTACTTAGTTTTTCTTTAATCACCTAAAGGCTCATTGTGGTCCAATAGAAATACAATACAAAACAGAAAGAAGTCATGAGCCCCTTTATCTCTGACAGGCACAGAGTAGAGAATATGTGGTGCTAATGGTTTTATCCACAGTGAAAAATTTGCCTTTTTAACTCTGTAGATCCACCTCCTGACTCAGGCACGCTCGCCTTTTCAACTGCAGACAGAATTTTTTTCAAAGTTGTCAAAAGTATTGAAGAAAATTGAAGATTTTAATCTATACTAAAACTAGTATCGAAACACATAGTCATTTGAGGAGATACAGAAAATAAATCACAAACAGGACCAAGGGTGACCTTTGTCCCAGCGAAGTTTTGATTTAGTCCTTTTCTAGTCCTGGTCTAGCTCTGGTCTAATTCAGGTTTAGATCTGGGTTTAGTTAGTCAGGCTGGTGCCACCTAGTGCCTCCGCTCAATTTCATTTCTCTCCAGCGATTAGGTCAGGAATCAGAATACACTAGACGGTTCGCCATACATTCTGTGTTGGCAACGATTCTTGTGATCGAGGATTTAAAGCTGGAACAAAGAGAATGTTTGGCGAATTTTATCAAGGAGAAACACCTTATTGCCCTTCTTCCTATGGGATTTGGGAAAAGCTTAATATAGCAGTTAGCCCAGTTAGCGGTGCATTACAGACGTCACGACCAAATAGCAGCGATTGGTTAAATAAAAAAGTACCTGTCTACTGTCAAGCAAACAAATTCTAATGCTGTGAGGTCAGACGGTTTCCACAAAATGAAACCGGCTGATGAATCAGGCTAGGGTTTAGGGCCTTTTAGTCCCAATTATGATGCAGTGAGCTTTTAGAACTAGCATACGACCACATGGTAACAGAGTAAAGTTCTGCTATTTTATGTGTTTATTATCTAAAAAAAGAGCACTTTTTATTATCATTGATATCAAAATTGTTATTAAGTATTGAGGATATTTTTTTGTTTCAATTTTCAAGTTTGAAAATTTTGTATCAGGACAACTCTAATACCTATGTTATTGTTTTCACTATTACCAACGACAGTGAAAAGAATAATTAATTCGGAGAACATTATTGCTTTTCACATGTGGAGCTCTGATTGGCCCTAACGATAACGGTGTGTGCAGTAGTGATGTATGTGAAACAGGAAGTGCACAGTGCGACTGCAGGGGAGATTTGAGGCCAACCGTGACCCAGCACTTTCCTCCAACACAGAGCGCCGTTCAGAGCAGAGGCCCAGGACGCAGATAACATCCAAACACATGGAAATATTTTACGGACATGTTTGAGAGGGGACGATGGAGGAAAGAGGAGAACAGAACAGAACAGAGAAGAGGGAGTGTTTGCTCATGTTTACTCAAAATTCACTCACTTATAAGATGCAGTCATGTGTATTGGAAGAAGTTTACAATGTGATGGGCATTAACACAGCTTTCAGGCAATCGTTAGTATAGTTCTTGATTACAAAAGACGTTACATTTAAAAGTGCACTTTGTATCTTTTCTGTTTTGGGATGTTTTTTGCCATTAAGACAAGCAGGTGACATCATCAGGACAAGTCACGGGTCTGATCAGTGGAGATGCAACCCCACTCATTGTAAGAATCCAAGTATTTTTGAGCACACAAATAAAAAAATATGCTTTTGATATTGAAATGGAATCGGATGACGCAGTTTTTTTAATGCTACTGTAAAAGTTACGCTGACTCAAAATTAAACATGCCAACCTTTTTCTTTTTAAAGAGAAAATGACTTTACAGCATTGCCCAAATGGAAGAGAGAAGTGGGTTGACATGAGAGTGAGTTTTTTTCATGATGATGTTGAAAAAACATCCACACACATTGCTTAGTGCAGCTGCTTACAGTAGCGTTAAGAACATTTGGCAGTTGACCCATTTACTATTACAATTTCCACCTCTGCGTCCCCCCTTGCCTTCTCTATACAAGCCCAGTCTGGCTGTGCTGAGTAAATATTGAAGCCCGTCTGGTTCATATTTTGGACATAACTTGTTACAGTGCCATTTAAGTTGACCCATATTCCTATGTTATTATAATGATGTTCTTTATTAATGGATATATGGAGCTAACTTAACTCACTTTCAACTCCCTTATGCAACGTAACACTACACTTTTCAAACGGTTCTGTCAGGAATGCTTGTGTGCGCGTTTTCCTCTCAGCTCTAAAGGAAATTCTTTGAGGTGGCGTAGTGGCTTTGCTGGATTTTTTGATTGGACTAAATGACAAAAACAGAGAAGGCACATAACACTGAAAAAAGGGGGCAGTCTTGTTTAATTTTGACATAATGGAGGGGAACATGATATCGAAGGTTAAAACAATAAATTACAACACTAAAATGACATTACATATTAATCAAGCGTTCTGCGTAAAATATCTCAATTATCTGTTCTCTGTTGTTCCTACTAAAGTTCACATATACAGTGTTACTTTTTAATAGATAAATGATACTTTTAGTATCATTGATACCAAAAAAAAGTGTTGTTTTCATAGATTAAATGTGCCCAAAAACCACCACAGCATAGCCAGTTGTTGTGTCCTTAGGCATGACACTTTACACAAATTTGTTGGTGCCTAGGTGTAAGTCTGAATGTCATTTTGAATAGTTATTTAAACTTGGATGTAGTGAATGTGTCATAATATACTGATTGCATTTAAGACCACATTTTTTGGTCCAAGCAGTAGTCCTACTTATCCAAATCCAAATTTTAGTATTACCTCTTACCTCCTCATATGCCATTGTGTACTTGTCCACCAGCGAGTGTCCCAGGGCAGCATGGATCTTTGGCAACTCTGATGCAGAGACATGCTCCCTGATGAGGCTCCACAGAGACTGGCCAGGACTGCAGAAGACTTGTCCATCAGATGACTGCATGTGGCTTTACTGTGGGAGTGGAAACAACCAGTAATTCAGCTTTAACACAGCACAAATAAACAAGTGTGCATTTGTGTGACTTGTAAAGTTAAAGGCATTTTGACAACACGCTAAAATGTTAACTTTACAGCTTGTAGGTTATTTTTAGAGGAGAGGAAAGTAAAGTTAGGCTATCCACAATAAAATCTACCTTGTTTTTCTTAAATTAGCTTAAGTTATCAAGTCAGAGATAACAAACATAAGCTAGCTGTGATCGCAAGTTTAATGTAACAAGTTAAACTGATAAACTTAACTATCGCTAGACGAATAAATGGCAGCGTTACAAAGAAAATTCCAAAGTTGATGGAGCCTTTTACCAAACGCATTAGGACAGATTATAGAGAGAAAGATACGAGTTTACCTTGTTTTTTTCCCTTTTCAGTTTGGCTCTGGCTTTATTATCTCGGCTGCTGTTGCTAGGATAAACTTTCCTGTTGTTATGGGGAGATCTCGCGAGACCAGCGCTCTCAGCTTCATAGTTGTGAAGCATGTTTATTATAGTCTATGTTGTCAACTCTGGATGAATAGAAAATCTTTTGAGTGCGTTTTTTTCAGTCGGTACGCTAAGTGAAGCTAGTTGTATTTATGCGCTGATTTATGGGCTATTCAAGGAAGCGATAGCAAATATGTTAACCCTAAAAGACCAGTGGACATGGTTATAAAGGCCACCTGTTCAGTAGAAGTCTTTATTACCTGACTTAGGATGATATATTGAGGGGTGGGACGCAGACGGCTGAACTCTAAGAAAGTTGAACTCTCAGAGATCCTTCCCTCATAATACCCCCTTCCTCCACCCCTTTCCTTTCCGGGCTGAGCAGACGGAGCCAGGAGAATACTCGGAGGAGCGAGGCGCGGCTACTGCACAGCCAGGAGCCAGGACTGCTGGATGCTTTACAATGTAAACTCTTAGACTTGAATTGTTAATGTAGACCAGGCTATAAAACCCGTAGTTTTATACTTTTTATTTCGACAAACTGAAAATGGCTTTTGGAAAGATGGCTAAACTTTTCAGTGCGCGTTTGGTGCGCACAGTTTTGGCACTGGTGCTGTGCGCGCGGCCCGGGTTCGCCTTCTCTGTGGCCGGGCAGCAGGACAGCACCTGTGAGGCCAACGGGAGCATTTACTACGTGGGGGAATGGTACTTCCTGGACTCTGACCACTGCACTCAGTGTGAGTGCACGGCCGAGGGAGCTGCTTGTGCCCGCACCGAGTGCACGTCTCTCCCGGCCGCCTGCATCCACGTGAGCCATTACCCCACTGACTGCTGTCCCCGCTGTGAGAGGATCGGCTGCGAGTACCGAGGGGTGGTCTACGACCTGGGACAGAACTTCCAGGTGAGATGTGCTACCTGCCTTTTAAGAATGAAAAGGGCGTCTGAACAGAGTCCCATTTTCTATTTTTTCCAGATTATCATATTATTTTGGCTTTATGTTTGAAGAACTTCAATGAAAATCCATGGAATGCTTCATTTTTATTTATGGGTTTGGAAGTCTCGACGAAATATTTAACCATAAATAACGTGACTTGGAGTTAAAACCTATATTTCACTAGGCTTCTCTACACGGTATATGCTATTCTTCAGTGTAGTATAGTTCTTCTGTGTGCTTCTGTAGCCCTAAGTCTTTAGACATAACTGTGTGATATCATGTCATTTTTATGTGCAGTACCTAAACAGCGATATATATATATATATATATATATATATATTTATTTATTTATTTATTTATTTATTTATTTATTTATTTATTTATTTATTTATTTATAATGATAAGTAAGTAGTGGCAATGTTTAACCTGCAACAGGGAATAAGTAAATGGCGCCCTCTTCTGAGAGGGGTCAGTGTTGTAGTGTGTTTGTGTTAAACTTGTATCAGGCAATATGATATTGTTTGTAGCCTTAGCCTGTATATAAAAGTACTCCAGATACCAACAATCGTTATAGTCAATATAAAAATGTAGTCCACACACATTGAAGAGTGTGTGTTCCTCCACAGCCGTCAGAGTGTGAGCAGTGTACCTGTGACAGTGATGGCATCGCCCGCTGTCTGGTGGCTGACTGTGCCCCTCCCCCCTGTGTGAACCCCGTGTACCAGCCTGGGAAGTGCTGTCCCGAGTGCCAGGAGGGTAAGTCTGTCTCAACACAAAGGCTTCCTCAGGGAACAAAACTGCCTTGTCTGTCCATCATGAAGGTCAAACTGTTTTGGCTAGACTAGAAAATGTGCCCTTTACACAAATATGAGCAGTTTGCCTCTAAAGAGAGCTTATACCTGCCCCAAAGTCATATTCTTATTGATGTGATAGTGTATTAACTAATTCAGCTTTACATGACACATTTTGACACTCTACAACCAAATATTTCTGTGGTCAAAACAACAATTCAAATATTTTGGGCTATACAAAACTGAACCTCCCAAAAGTCCATTATCACTGACTGTTTGACTAGGAATTGCCTCATGTTTTTCAACCTCTACCTTCTCACTTACCTACAGGTCCCAACTGTTACGTGGATGACTCCCGGTCTCAGGTGATCCCAGCTGGAGACCCGGTCTGGGTGGACTCTTGCACCAAATGTCGTTGCCATGACGGCCAGGACGCGGGGTACTGGGAGGGGAACCGCCTGGCCACCTGCTCCAAGCTCAAGAACTGCACGCCAGAACAGCCCTCTATTCAACAGAACTGAGACAGAAGACCTCGGAAAACTGTTAGCAAGGAATGTATGAATAATGTTTTTAAACAAGATGGATGCAAGTGAATGGAGATATTCTACATGTATGAGCAGGTATGTTGGAAAGGGGGCTAGACAACTCTGGTTGTTGATAAACAGACGTTAATGTAACAAAGGTGGGGTAACAGGTCATTTGGTTTCTTACCTGATAATGCAGCCAAATACATAATGTTAACACAGAAACATCATGTAAAATGTACTGGATTTATGGCTAGTCCTCAAATACTATACTTCCATTATTCTCCAAGTGTTTTATGTAGACCCATAGACTATATATAGACTTCCTTGTGCAGTGTGTAGACAACAACAAAGGCGCTTTGACTGTACCTTGTAAACTGTTTTAGTAATGGGTGGATCGATGCCTAAATATATCACAATATGGACTTGGTACTGAGAAGTAGAGCATCTCATACAAAAATATAAATTTTTAGAAATACATTATTTATATATTTCTATATCTGCTCATATATTTAATTTTTGCATGAGTTCAAACATTGGAATTCATATAATCTATATACCAAGGTAAAACTGTTGATAGTAGAGAAGTTTCAATACATTTTAATACAAAACTCATTGGTAATGGATCAATACTGTAATATTACCATAGTATTACATGAATCCGTGTGTCATTCGTTCATTCGTTTCCAAATAAAACCAAAAATAAGAAAACGAAAAAACAACTATTTTCGTCATTATTTGTCACCAAAAACAAAATGAAAAAACGTATTACAGATAATGATTTTGGGACCAGTCCTGGTCTGGTCCCAGTCTCAGTCCTGGTCTCAATTTTTGTTTGGTCCTGGTCTGGTGCTGGTCTCAGTCCTGATCACCTGACAGTCTATGTGGGCGCACCTCTTGGTTTAGTCCTGCTCTAGTCCTGGTTCAGTCCTGGTTCAGTCTGGCATCGCAGTTTAAGGCAAGGAAACGGTTGTCATCCGTTTTTTCCATAATTAGTTTAAACACAAAATCAGAAACTGAAAAAACAAATCGTTATCCATTTTTTCATTTTGGTTTTGGAGACAAATACTGAAGAAAATAGTTGTTTTTTTGTTTTCTTATTTTTGGTTTTATTTTGAAAAATGAATGAACGAATGATACATGGATTTACATGGCAGCAAATGGAATCAAATGTCACTGTAAAAGTAACTACCCAGTGTGAAGGATGATTAAATTATTATAATGATTCTTAGATTAGTAAACTGTGCATCTTTTTTGACAAAGCTGAGTTCTCTTGTTTAATTTAGAGAGAAAAGTATTTTTATGAACTTTTTCTTTGTTTTGAATAATTTTGATAATCTCCAGACATGTGTTTTGTTTAGCAACATTAAAGTGGTAATTGACCTGTCACTGTGTTGATGCAGTACTGAAATATATGCACGCCTGTGATGCAGTTAGCAGTTTAGTCTAGCAATAAATACACCCAAGTCCTCAGTAAGTTTGACATTTCAATTTCCATGTTAATTGAAATATAATGTATTGCACTTGACTAAGGCCAAACATGATTATGTAGTAGTTGTAATCACAGACAATATTTGAAAACAACAAAGTGCTATTATACCTGGACTGCAGAGTGGGTAAACAACCTGTAAGACACCGCTTTATTAGTCTTTTGTATGAGCAAGTCTGTTATTCTCAAAATCAGTGATGTAAAGAGTATTTTTATAGAGTGGAGTCTAGACTGTTTTGATTACTTTATTATGGACCAAATAAAACAAAATGTTATGTTGTTTTTTTATGTGATGGCAAGGATCGTAAGTTTAATCAAGTTTACTCAGTCAAACTCCAAACTATACCACTTTGGAATAACATTGTAGAAAATTATTTGTTGGATATTTCAAACTGTACTTATTGCATGTTATGTGGATGGTTACTGCAGTAAACTACACTACCTGCCACTGTGTACTTAAGTCATTGCATTGCGAAAAGTTGCATATAAATGCATAGATTCATTGCTATGAAATTATACACCTTCATTTTGTGCACAAGAAAAAAAAGTGTGCAAAGATATAGCAGTGTAAATATTATTTTTGTAAGACAGTGGATGTTCTGCTGTTATGGTGATGGGTTCAATAATAAAGTATGTAAATGTTATCCAAGGATATTTTCATTTTATTCTCACTGCTGTACCTTGTGTTTACGCTGACTTTTTGCTGTGTTTGGGCTTTCTCTGGGAGGATGTGTGTGCGATTTCTCCTTGGAGTTTTTTCACTGGGGACCGAGGCCTTTTGTGAAGCAAGAGTCTGATAAAACACAACAAGAGCAGCACAGACTGGTACGGCATTACAAATGAGGCCAGACTGCTCGGACAATGGCAGGAGAAACACAATGGGAATGGGAACTTAATAATAACCCAAAAATCTAAAGTTAGATTTTGCACAAAAATAAGAACATGTCTACTTCTTAGACAGCATAAGGTCTGCCATAAGGTTTCTATGGTAACATGTAAAAAAAATTGTCAATGAATAGTAAGAGGCCAATTTAAATTATAGATATCAATGACTTTAAACCTTTCCCCATTCAAAAGATATCATAATTTTATATTAATTACTTAATTGCTATGACCACAGAGGACAGTTGCCATAGGAGATATTAGTGCCTGGAATGATCCACAGCACAGTATTAAACCAATCTACTGTATTCCCATGTAGATAAGCAGGTTACCAAGCTCTAGTTACAAGTCAGATCTGTGAAACGGGTATTTTTTTTTTTAGCATTAAAACACCTGTAAACATTTCCGTCTAATTTGAAAAGAAAAGAGAGATCTACAAGACAATATGAAGCCACCATCAGTTTTATTGATTGTATAGAAAAAGTAGGTTTGATATGACAATGCATTCTATATAAGATATAACATTTTCAACATTCAATGTACAAAAACCCTAGTCAGAGATACAGTAATGTTTAAAAAGTGCCACACAGGCCTGAAAAGTTCACTCGGAATCGGCGGAGTAAAAGTTTGATGTTTGAGGTGTGCTTGACATGTGAGACACTCCAAAGGTCAAAGGGCATGAGACCTTCAAAGACCTCTCATAAAATCTGTAAAAACACACTTCAAACAGGTCCACTCTACTGTCTGTACATGTCAGCTCTGTAGACTGAAGAAAAGACATGGCTGGCATTTGCCATCAACACAGTACTGTTACAGAAGTTATTTTCCACCAATATAGAGGAGGTGACGAATTCTCCAAAATATTTTACATTCCAAAATCAAGTAGCAACACTGCTTCATTTAGAGCACAAAAGTATAGGTCAACAAAATATAACTCATAAATGGCAAGATATATAAGCTATGCAAAAAAGAAAGATGTATTTTGTAACTTTTCTGGTGGAGGTTCCGCCACCTTCTTGTGTCTATGAAAATGTTATTGCTTTACTTTTGGGATGTTCCAAAGTAGACTTAAACTTAACTATATATTAAACAATAAAAGCACCTGCAATTAAATAAAGCCGAGGCAGCTAAGTTTAATGTTGTACTGTGGAACATTTCAGCAAAAGCAATGGACAAAAGCACACCATAAAGGTTATACTGCACCTTTAAATTTGGGGGAAAATTAAGCAGATAAAGTAGTAATAGACATTTTTAGGATAACTATAATCAAATATTCCAATCATATCTTTATTACTCCTTTGTAATGGCAGAAAATAACTTCTATAATCCACAATGAAGGTGCTCAACACAGGCTGACCTCACTGCTAATCAAAACAAACTGGTTATATGAGTCGATCTATATGCTAACAGTGACTGATAGTAGTATGTATAGTATGTAGTATAATGCAGTAAACAAATGACCTTCAAATATCACAAAATTCTCGTTCCTACCAGCTTTACACAGAAAATACATGTTTGAATATTGCACAGGAAATCGTAAACAGCCTGTAAAAGATCTAGGAGGGGAAAAATAATGAAGAAGAATAGACATAGGCAAAAGACACGGCCACACACGGAGCATCCCTGTCGATAGATATTGAATGGGAAACAGAGTCCACTGCTACGGACAAGAGTGGTCCATTGACGCATGCGGCGAAGACTGGCGTGGTTTGAAAGAAGAGGCGAAGAAAGAGGAGAAAAGGGAGAGACAAAAAGGAAGGATAAAGTAGGGCCGTGTGGAGATGTGACTGTGCAGTACTGTCCAACAAGCTGCAGGCAGAAAGAGAGGAGCAAAGACGGAACAGATGGGAACCAGTCAACCCCAAGGCAGGGCAACGGAGGGCCAGAGACAGACGAAAGATAGATGACACGTACAGTAAAGATGAAATGGTGACTTAAATGCTTGTAATAATTGTGTTGGTAAGAATATTTAATTTATTACTGATTAGGCAGGGAAAAATTGCACATGTACACACTGCATGAAGTGAGTTTTCTGTTTACTCGTTAATACAGTGGAGTTTAAACCTAAATTGTGAGATGAAATACCACAATGTATTCCTTTGATTTTAGGAAAGTAGCTGTTCTAAATACAACCAAATGAAAAAAAATATCTCTAACTGAGTCAAAATCTGATTATGTATTTTTGGTACAGATATTTAGTCACTTCCCAGGACTGTGCATGTCATATTTTCATTTCATATGAATCGAAATGAAAGCACACACCTCAAAACATTTGATTTGGATAAGCTAAATTGAATGAGATGTAAAAATATGACATAAAACGTGAACTTAAGGTCAGTATTTCTGAGTGTAAACATTTCATGCAGTTTGTGTAGTGTACGTGAGGGAGATAGGAGTATGATTTATATCTTTTAATCACACTACTGGTTACTGGTATTGTGTGAGTACCAATGGTGGAACAAAAAACAAGCTCTGCTTAATTTAAGAAATATATTTACTTTTTTGGCCTTGCTTGTTTGTCCTCATTCAGAAGTACTTTAGTTAGACTTTAGTCCAAGATAGAAATTTGGCTTATACTAAATATTATATATTATATATATGTTATGAAAAGTTTGAAAACTGCTTGTTTAAGGCAACCAATTACAAAATTCATGTTTGAATTTTTAGATTGATTAATATTGTCCATTATAGCAAATGTGTTTTTAAATTGCCAAAATTGAAAATACAACAGCAGTTCAACAGTGTTTCATCAAAATTTTCTAAAAGAGGACATTTATATTTTTGACAAATTTGCCTCATTCTCTTCACAAGGTCCCATAGTCTCCTTTGTTTATTCCCTATTATCTTAACTTTCCAAGGCATCCATTTGGTGTTTTAGGCGACAAAAAATAACATATAAAACATTTTAAATAAAAGATGAGACATTTTTTTTTACAAAACATTAAAAAACACCTTAACTAAGGATATTAAGTTCCATCTTTCCGTGACAGGTGCGATGGCAGATTCATTTGCCTTGGAGCAGCCTCAAGGAGACACTAAATGAACAGATGCCAGTCAAACTAAATGATAACTTTCACACTTTCATCTTTGCCTTCACCTCGGGATAATAAACTTTTCCAATATTAAAATGAAGGTTGCTAAAATGACATGAAAACAATAGGCCCATAGAGAATAAATCTTCAAACCAGACGTGCAGGTTGTGTAATGAAAAAGCGTCCTTTGTATGCACTCAAAATGATAACTTTCCACCAATCCTAATTTTTGTATTTCTTAACACAGAATAGCTGAGTGTCTGCCTGGCCAGTCGTACCTTTTACTCATTAATTAGGTATGAGATTACTTCAAAATCTTTACGGTTTTGTCCAAAAAAAGGAGTAAAAACATTAACTTTAAAGGTGCATGTAACAGATGAAGAGCCTGCTACTTGCTTGTCACCATGGAGATGTTGCTGCTTCGCATGTAATATTCCACAGTATGGCATTAAATGGGTCTATCTCCATGGAGACACCACCAGGCCAATGTACAGGTCAGATCTGTGTAGAGGTAGTCCGACTCTAAGTAAGAATGCATGCTATTCAAGGTATTCAAGGGGTGACTGTAGCTCAGCTGGTCGATAGAAGACAGGTGAATGCTGTCGTTGTGTCCTTGGGCAAGACACTTAATCCACCTCGCCCCCAGTGTCTGCTTACACTGGTGTATGAATGTGTGTGCAAATGGGCGAATGGTTCCTTGATGTAAAGAGCTTTGCCTCGAAGGTGGAAAGGCGCTGTATAAAAATGTGACCATGTACCATTCTTTAGCAATAAAACCTGTCACTGAATGAATGTAAGATATGTATAAAGGTTTAACACGATAATTTACAACATTCAAGGCAAGGCAATAGCACTTCCATGGAGACTAGCAGGTGGACGACTCCCCGCCTGAAAACTTACAATGCACCCTCAAGCAACTGTAAAACTGAATTACATTTTTACAGTGAAGAAATCCCACCAGATTAATTCCAATCACGCAAAATCATTATCTGAGGAAGCTTTAAGTAATAAACATAGCTCCACTGATATTATTGTGTCTATTTGTGAGCCAGACAGAGCATTTACCCTGATTTAGAGAGGCTGAGTTTTATGTATACATACTGTATATTGCAAGTTCCAATATACTAGACGCCTATGCTCTTGCTATTGAATGTCTGAAACTGTTACTGAGAATAAAATGAAAAGAATGGTGACTGGCCAGGATACATAAGACCGACAACACATTTCAAAAGCCGAACCTTGAACTACCTATTGTATATGTTTTAACAATAACATGTACGGTATATAAGTATGATAAGGCTGAAAATCGCAATGTACTGAATATATGAGTCCTAAAATGTACAAACCAGCTAGTAAAATTTAACAAACGTAATGCCCAATTGGTGCAATGAGCTGTCCATTATACACTATTGAGTTGAATGCATTGAAAGCCAACACATGGGAGTAAAAGAAATCAGTTATTCAAACGTTCAGTCTCTTCTTTGAGTCGCTTCCAGTTTAAAGACAGATATAAAAAGTTTGTCGTGGTTTGATCAACACATTGTAGCACAGTTCGATGTCCTCTGCTGGAAGTTGCAGGCACGAATCACATTCAATACTCGAGGAAATAAGTCCCAAAATGTCAGTGTGAATCTCCTCTATACAATCCGATGCTTTATCACTGCATGCCATCTCAATGTAAAATGCCATAGTCCAGAAAACCGCGTTGAATTCTCCATTACCTGCAATTTTATACAGTTTTAGTGATAATTTCTTGACCTTGCTTGCCAAGTGTACCAGGAGACTTTTATATCAGTGAATACCCCGACTTGATACGCTTTTGGAGGGCTTCCAGTTCTCAAATGATTCTTGGTGGAACTGCTCCAACAAGTTTTTGGCAGCACGTCTTCTTGGTCAGTGATATCTCAAGCACTCTCCATAGAAACGAAGTCTGCCGTCCTAATGTCCTGATTGCAGAGAGACTATGGCGAGCGGAAATCCCAATACGAATACAGGAAGAAAATGTGCTTGTGGGGGGTATAACACGGGATAATGCCGAGATACCAGTCTGATGCCAGTCTGGCGGGGTCTATCCTTTGAATGGGCGAGGAGGGGGCTTGCCGATCTCCACTGATATGTTTGTGTAAAGGGGAAATCGCCGCACTTCCAGCAGTTTGTAGGTCAGAGAGCTAATGCCGTCTTTCTTCATTGTGTTCTTGGTGTTCTGGATCTTGTTGAATCTGAAAAAAGACAAAAGGTAAAACACTGCAACGGCTGTAACGATATCCAAATTTTTCAGTACAATATGTTCACAATATCCATCTCACGATACAATATTTGTTGTGATATTTTGTGTGAGTTCGCTCCTTTTTCCTCTTAAAATGTCTTTATAATACTTAATCCAAACACTTATAACAGTTATTTCTTCATGTAGACTGCACTGAAACTGAGCAAAGGATCAAGTTCTATGTAGTTCCCTCTGCTTTTAGTTATTGTTGCACCATAACTATTAATTTAAGCAAAGAGTCCTGTTATTCAATGTATTGCGATGACCCTCGATATTATTGAGAGACCTTTGATGTTGCAATATCACGATATTTCGGTTATTGTTACATTCCTATAAAACAAACATTACTTACATGTCCTATATTACGCAATTTTCTGATCTAGGTCATAATTTTGTTTCTTCATCACAAACATACCTGAGTAGTGTTTTGTTTCATTCACACATGTTTAACACACAAACCTGCATATTTAGGCTGAGTTCTTCTCTTAGACACAAAACACTCTTTTTCATTTGGAAAAAAGCTCTTAACTTGAAAACTACCACTTCATGACATCACAAGCTGAAACAGAGCATTTTGAGATTTGAAGATGTAGTGACTGAATGAAACAAAACAAAACAAAACACAACTCCAGGTATGTTTTTGAGGAGGAAAGACAGAAGTTAATTTGGCGTAATATAGGACCTTTAATAAAAGAAACAATCCACTGACTTTAGCTTTAGAAAACTATGGTTCCCACTGGGGGCTGATATTGCCACAATAAGCAGCCCTCAATTCTATACAGTAATATTGTTTTGTGTAGAGATGGTGCGGGCGTGTACATCCTATATTACTCAAGAGGTTGATCTTAACAATATCAAAGATGCAAAAAAGTTTAACTGACATAAAAGTTTGAATTGAAAGTTTGAAATAAAGTGGTATTGAATGCTGTGTGATTGCTTTAGACTGACAACATTGCTGCAATCAGGGTGCAATGGTGGTGCAAGACAAAGAGAAGTTCATTTCCTCATCCGTCCAACAGGTGGTGCTAAGGCTTCACCCTGCACTACTGTAAAAGCTCACAATCAATCGCTACACCCTTGCTGCTTGTATGCACTAGTATGTTCTTACCTAGTGATGTTGCTAGAAAATCTACTCTGGCAACAATCCACAGATCTCTCCCCTTTGTCAATAAAACATGAGAAAGTTATTCAAGATTTAACCCTGACTGAACAAATGCTACAACTAATACATCAGGACGAAATCAGCATCAAATTAAAGCTAAACCTCAAATGAACGAGGTTTAAATAGGGAAAGAACAGGGACTAAATCAAGAATTACACCGAAATTCACACTTTTTATTTAGCTTTTATTTGAACTATTTAGCCAAAAGATAAAAGAAAAGCAGTATGGCATAAAATGTATCTATGCTCATTGTTTTTAACTTTCTGTAAAAAATAAATACACAATATTTTGACAAAGTTCTAGTACAACATCACAAAATTCATTAGGCATTGACTGGAATGAATCAATGCTTAATATATGTATTGCAAATGACAGCAAAAAACAGCTCATAACCCCTTCTAAACCAAGATTTAATCAGTTAGGAGACAAAAAACTACTACCCGCGAGCGTACCACCATGTGTACTTCTACCACAGTTTGATAAGCACCACATTAGATTGACATGTACATTGAGTGAACGGGACAGGCCTCCTCTGTGTTCAACAAAAGCCTCTTCTTAATGATCTTCTGCAGGACCAGGATGTCAGCTTCAGACCAGTGCTCCTGTCAGTGCACACGCCTCAACATCTATTTCTGCACAAAAGAATCAAACAGGGCCCCTATGGCATCAATGGAGGCAGGAAGCTCTCCTCAAGTGTCTGTCTGTAGAGGCGGATGGACACGAAGTGCGGACTGCTCGTACAGATCCGAAATAGCTGTTTTAAAAGTGAGAGGGTCATTTAAGTAAAGTACATAGTGACACAGAGAGAGGGAGCGATTTAGATCTAGTACAGTAGTAGGGCTGTAACGATAACGAGTCTCACAATATGATATCGACACGGTATGAAACTCTTGGTACAATATTTATTGCGATATCATGGGAAAGCTCACAATGTGGTCGGGAGGCTCATGATTAGGTTTATAACAACATCCAAACTTCTCGGTACGATATTTTTGTGATATACATCTCACAGTACGATATTTATTGTGACATTTTGTGGGGGTTAACTGTCAATATGCAATTTTTCCTCTTAAAATGCCTTGACAAGACTTAATCCAAAGAATAAGACTTAAAAGTGCTTAGAACCCTTATTTCTTCTTGTAGTCTACACTGAAATGGAGCAAAGGATCATGGTCTATGTAGTTCTGTCTTTTTTTAGTTATTGCTGCACCATAACTGTTAATTTAAGCAAAGAGAATTCGATATATTGTGATGGCCCAAGATATTATTGTGAGAACTTTGACGACACAATATTACGATATTTTGGTTATTGTTACATACCTATACAGTAGGGCTGTACAACTGACAACATTGTCTTTGTTATTATTACTCCAGTCAATTACTAACATAGCGTAATTAAAAAAAAAAAAAAAAAAAAGAATTGAGTCTTGTGAGCTTTAAGCCAGGTTAGAATACCTTCTCACAAACATACCTGGAGTTTTGTTTTGTTTCATTCACAAACGCTTAACATACAAATCCTGCAAATTTAGGCTGAGTTCTTCTTTTTCTGTTCCACCTTGTAATGTGATGTGGTAATACAGGAAGTGCTCTACTGGGTTTTTACTCCATACACCTTCACTAGAATCATTTGGATAATTTCAGCCCTGTTATTGACAATCTCTGCTGAACAAAATGTAAAAGGTTGCTGTTAACCAGGATTACTCAAACATGAGTAAATTAAACAAAACACAACTCTGAAGATATTTTTGATAAGGTAACCACATTCTAACATTGTGCAAAATAGGAATAAAATAATAAAATCTAACTAAAAGACAAAGTTGTGTTCAGTACATCTCTGTTGTGTTATGTATTGCAATGTATATAATCCACTGGTTTAATTGAACCGTCTCTGGTAATTACCTCAGTTTGTTGTACTGTGTTCAGATCAGGGCCAAAGAGCTTGCCATTGTTTTACATATTCATTAGCCTCATTTCTACATCTCATGCTAACTGGGCTAAGCTCCAGTTTGAATCCCACTGAGGCATTGTGGGGAAAAAAAATATGTGAATCGTTTAACAATAGCACAACAAAGTCCCAAGAGATATTTACTTACAGTGAGCTGACCTACTTAACCTTGGTGTAAAAACATCAAAACAACAACACATATTTAACCAGTTTCTAGAGTAAAAGTGCTCCCATTTGCGAACACTAATCTGGGCAGGTAACATCTTTCATAATGATAAACAAGACTGGTTTTCTATGGGACTAAAGCTTCATTTCTCATTGCTATGCGCGGCCACTACCAGAATGGACTCCTCCTGCCTCAGTGACTGCACCGTATAGTGAATGAGAATATAGCTGGTTGAATACTGATAGTCAACATTCATCACACAGAGGAGAGACTATGCACTTTCCCTTTAGTAAACAAGGGACACTGCACCGCTGCTACAGATAAAGTCCCCTGAGAGGCCGTGGTATTAATCTCAATCCAAAATGAACTAAAGCAAAACAAGGGGAAATAAAGGTTGAGTTTGCATGTTTGGTTTGAAAACTGGCTTGGAACAGCAATAAGTAGTAAGGTTGGGTGATATGGCAATACAAATCAAATCTGCTATTTTGTTTAATTTGTCAAATCATGATTAATTTGTTGTTTAATGCAGATCTATGCTATTGCGCTGTCTAAATGATCGAAATCAGATACTTATCGATTCTAAAACTAGTATCGTCGCTAGGTATCGTCACTAAAAAAGTCACATTCACAGGATGGAAAGTAACCTTTTCTGAATAGCTTTAAAATGATCTTGGGCTGTATCAGAACAAATATAAGATCCCATAGCCTAGTATATGCCCATGAAGCACTATGGAACCTACCTGGATGACTGAGGAATTACACAGATATAAGGCCACATGGTAATATAAAAGAAACTAAACCAAAGATGTTCATTTTGTCTTCTTGTGCACTTTAACTTCTTGGGTTCTTTTTAAAGACAATAGAGTAAAGTGTGTTTACCTTGTTGACATGTTTCGGCTGCATCTTCAGAAGTGTCCCTGGTGTTGGTGGTGACGTGTTGTATATCAGCTGTTGTTACTTCCTGTAGGCGTGGTCAGCCTGATTGGCCTGGCAGGTCACTCAGACTGACCACGCCTCCTGTCACCCAGTGTTCTCTGGAGGAGGGTGTCCCAGGTGTGAAAGGAGGAACGCTCCATCATCACAGTTAATACTGTCCGTGCCTCATTTCCTGATTTCAATGGCCTCCCTGACCCAGCGTTTGAACTTGTTGTTTTCCGATCCAATGACCCGTGCCCTGTCCCAATCCATAATGTCTTTGAGTGGGTCACCAACACCGGTGACAGTTCTCAAGATGGCTTGCAGCTAGCAGCCGATACATGCCAAGGTAAATACACTTTACTGTATTGTCTGTATTGAACCCAATAAGGTAAAGATAAAAGAAACCACAATGATTTAATGTTGAAAATGACATTCTACTGTCTAAATAAATATTATCATTGTAGTATCCGAATCAGTATTGAGTATATTGTCGATTCCTTAGTGTCAAAATCGAGTTTGAAATCTTAATAGTCACAAGACTACTGTATTCAAACACACTTATACTCACTCAGTCAAACTCAGAATCAACGCAGCAGTTTTCAATAGGAAGTCAGCGTTTCTTTAATCAACTCGTTTTAGATCAATATTGCGATTAAAAATGTCCAAAATATAAAATAATGACTCAGGGGTGTCATAGATTATGCTATACTGCAGACAAAAGCAATATGTCTTCTTTAAAGGCAATATAAAGAATTACACTAA